CGCTGGATCTTCCAGGAGCTGCTGGAGAAAGTTTCCAGACATCAGAAAGTAAAAGTTTTGGAGCAAAAGCAGCTTAATTAATAAAACGTGCAGAGTTCTGCTGACTTCAGGAGTCCGACCCACCAACACGGCATTCATCGGTTCTCACAGGAGTTCTGTGTCGAACAGTGAAGGTCAACTGCAGGTCAAGTCCACGAGCAGCTGGAGGAGGAGGAGGAGGGAGAACATGTGTGGGATCCATCAGCAGGAACACACAGTGGCTTCATTAACGGCAGCAGGCTGGACTTTAAAGTGCAACATGTGGATACAGCAGAGTTCACGTCTAAAGTAAAATCCTCCTGGTTTCTGCCTCCAGCCGACGGTTTGGACTAAACGCTGCTCAACGCTCTGTTACCGCCACATGGAGGAGCTTCAGCAGCTCCACGGGACACACTTATTAAAGCTCTAACTACCACCCACAGGCCCAAACACTGGTTCTGACCTCGTTATTCAGCTTTGTTTAACGTGATTAACTCGTCAGAGATCATCGCTGATCCTCTAACCAACGCCACCGTCTGGTCACAGTTTACAAGAAAAGTCTGGTTTCATCAACATTCATTCACTTGTAGCTTAACTTTAGTCTGCAGAACGTTGAGTTTAGTGGCTTATAATTACAGTTAGCTCGTTAATAAATCTGTATTTTTAGTCAATAAAGCAGTGATTTGTTGTTTTACAGTGTGAAACCGTAAACTCACAGTATTTTAACATATTTAAATCAGAAAAATGTGTTGTTTTAATAACGTTTGATGATTAAATTAAACAATTTTACTGTATTTGAATCTAAATTTACTGCTATTTTCATGACTTTTACAGTTTTTTCCCGTTAATCACCACCAATCTCGTGTTCTCGTCTGCACAGTGTCACCGTTATAATCCAGTTTAACTTTATTCTGCTGACAGCTCAGTCTAGCTGCTAATCTTTCATTTTAAAGCGTGTTTTAATTTCCACGTTGCAGCGGTTCACGTCAGCCGGTTAATGTTGTGTCCGATGGAGAAGCAGTCTGCTCTGTTAAAGTCCTCTTTGTGTTGTGAGCAGCAGAATTAGCACATCTGGACGTGAGAACGCCCAGAGCTCCGGTTTCATTTCCAGCATTACGAGCAGGAAAAGTGTTAGAGCTGAGATTCCTGCCGGGCCTCTGGGCCTGTCAGCCAGACGGAGACGTGAGCGCTGCTGGAGGGGAAACGTGGAAAAAAACCAACATAAACTCCGGCCAGACACTGAAGCAGCCATTGTGCAGCAGCTGTGAGCAGATTAGTGGAGCTTCGCCGGGGGGTCGGCGGATTCCTCGGCTCAGTCGTCACCAGAAACACCCTGGACCGGGCCCGTCTCAGGCCAGGAAACCCCTCCTCTCTGGGTCCAGGAAGGACTCTGAGCCGAGAGGATGAAACCGTGGCAGCTGGAAGACAGAAAGAGAAAGTGAAGGACAGAAGCTGCAGTTTCTGGAGACTCAGCTGAGACGATGGAGGTCAGCAGGAGGGTCACACGGAACCGGGCTGGTTAAAGAACCGAGTCACAGGTCAGAAGGTTTGTCATCTGTGACCCAAAGTGAAGTTCTGTAGCCTCAAGAGAAACCTGTGAAGCCTTCAAGGTTCAGTATCTCCAGAAATAAACCTCACAGCCATGAAACATGTCGAGGACAGACCAGAGAGTTTCAGGACAAAGTCTGAATTATTGGTCCTTAAGAATGTAAATAAAGTTTCAGCCAGCCTGGTGTTGATCTAAACATGTAGATGGATCCATGTTTCTACTGAACATAACACAAACAAGACGGACGACAACAACAACAACAACAACAACGAGAAACCAGAAAAAAAATAGACACAAAATAAGAAAAACAAGAAACAAAATGAAAAAAAAATGAGACAAAACCAGAAAAATGAGGCACAAAATGACAGAGCAAACAAAAATACACAAATTAGAAAAAAACAACAAAATGAAAAATGATGACGACTCAAAAAAAGAACAACAGAAGCAAAAAAACCACAGAAAAATCTAACAAAATTATAAAATGATGACAAAAAAATAAGAAAAACAAAATGAAAAAAAATTGAAAAACCAGAAAATTATACAAAATAAACAAAAAAAAACAAGAAAAAAATTATAAAAATAAAACAAAATTAGTAAAATGAAAACAAAACAATGAAAATGTGACACAACATGGAAAAAAATTAAATATAAAACAAGAAACATGAAACTGTTGAGGGATTTAAACTCTGCCCTTCACCAGAGCTCTGAGCTATTTTATTTTATTTTATTTTATTTTATTTTATTTTATTTTATTTTATTTTATTTTATTTTATTACCTGACTGTTGTCTTGCTGCCTCTCTCTTGCTGCTCCTGTAACTCTCTCTGGCAGCTCCAGTGACTCGACAGTTAAACATGTTCTTTTACACACAGTTAAACTTTAATTATTTCCAGCTCGCTCTCATTTAAAGAAACGTTCACATTCTTCCAGCTCTGATCGGGTCTGAACCCGTCTGACTTCTGGTTTCTGTTGTTTCAGAGCTTCAGACTAAACCAACGTTTCCTCTTTGTGTCGATTAAACTCGTGAAGCTGCTCATCTGATCATCTGATCGTCTGATCATCTGATCGTCTGATTGATAAACGAGGCTGAACAGAGACAAACCAGAGGACTCTGAGGGAAGCTTTACGAGTCGATTGGTCCTAACCAGCAGCAGACGTTCCTCCACGGGGAGCCGACGGAGCTGCTGGTGGACCATCGACTCGTTTGTTTGGGCTGGAAACGGAAAAATACATGAACCTCGTAAAACTCTTCATCATCATCTTCATCATCATCATCATCATCATCATCATCATCATCATCTTCATCATCTTCATCATCACTGCTATTCAGGAATAAAGTTAAAAGGGTTTAAAGCACATTCAGCAGATTTTACTCACGTACAGCTTTAAAAACAGAACTTTGAGTTGAATAAATCACAGCTGATGTTCATTAACACAGAACGTTGAATCCAACAAAGCAGCAAACAGAACGTGTTCCTTGGTTTGAACCAGAGTTTTTATTTTTACATTTTATACCAAAAACAGAATACAGACCTGAAAAAAGAGGAAACAAGAACAGACCTATTTCTTGTTTTTCTTTTATTTAAAACCAAAAATATAAAAAAAACAAACAAGAAAACAAGTTTTAAATAAATAAACGACAGCTGTCCAACATGAACATGAAACTTACATGAAAAACTAAAATAACAGTTTTTCTGTTTTCTGTTTTAAACAGAATGAAAAAGAAAAATAAGATGATTATTCTTATCTTTTTATTTTTATTTTTCCATTTTCTTGCTGTTCATTAACATTCAAAGTTATGTTCAGTAAAATGAGTTTTTTTCCATCAAATAAAATTCTCAAATTTTTCACAGCTGGTTAAAAAAAATGTTTGTTTTCTCTCTTTTGATCATAATCACACAATAAACTGAACTTTATGGGGTTTACTCCCCCTAACTAACTAACTAACTAACTACAAATGGACAACTTTGTTCTTTGTTTCATATTTGGAATTTAAGAGGAAAATAATAATACTTAATTAACACTGGGTTACTTTACTTGTTTTTCTATTTTTATTTTTAGTGTTTATAATAATAGAATAAAATCTAAAAACTTTATTAATCCCCAAAAGGAAGTGTTGTTGTTCCAGCACAGACAGTCACCTCCACCTCCAGCAGCATAAACACACATAAATAAACAAAAATAAACAATAACAAATATGAAATGTACAATCAGTGTAACAAGAAGAAAAGTCCTGCAACAGAACACGAGCACCACGTGGATCATTTCAGTTTAATGGGTCATTAATTCTACTTTAGTTCACTGATAAGAATCTGTCCAGAGCAGGTTCTGGTTCTGGTTCTGGTTCTGGTTCCTGTCCGTCCCGGTAGCCCTCCAGCTGTGGCCCAGCACCGGCTCCAGCTGCTCCTTTAAACGTTAAAGTGTCCGGTTCTCCGGTGACTCCTCCTCTCCTCCGGCGGACCCACCAACCTGTTGTGCCCGCTCTGGGATCAGCTGTTCGGCCGCCGCCGGGGCTCCGGGCGCCGCTGCGCTGATCCCGGGTCTGCGCCGCCCGGTCCTCCCCCTGCTCCCTCCGTGAGCTCCTCCAGTCCGCCGGAGGAAGCCGCCCGTGTCGTTCCCACGCCTCCGCGCCGCAAAAAACGCCTCGAATCAGCAAAGTGTGCAAAATGCGGAAACGGCAGTAAAAAGCGCAGTTTGTGGGAATTATGCGGCGGCGCAGCGGAGCGGCGCTGCGGGCATCGGAGCAGCGACGGGCCTCGACTCTCTCCGCCGGAGTTCCTGCACCGAGGGGACGCCAACTTTTCTGGCTCGGCTCGGTTCTGTGAGCGGGTCGCTGCGGACGGACCCCACGGCGCTGCGCAGTCCGTGCGGACGGTTCGGTGTCGCTGCGCCGCAGTTTGCGGCAGTTTGTCTGAGAAAGACGCTCCGGAGCCGCTCGGGGAGCCGCGTAGCTAGCTAGCTGCTAGCCGCTCCGGGAACCCGCTTTTAGTGTTTATTTAGCGACAAAACTGAGAAAAATCCCCCAAAACTCTGCTCCAGCGGCGGCCCAGGGCAGGCAGCGGCCCGGTACCGGCGGCCGGACACTTTCTGCGGAGCTTTGACGCTGTTTTTCGGTTGTTTTCCCACTAACGCCGCTAGCTGAACTCGGCGCAACTCCGCCGCCGCTAACGTCCCGACATGCCGCAGCTGGACCGGGCGGACGGGGACGACCTGGGGGCCAGCGACGAGCTGATCCCCTTCAAGGACGAGGGCGAGCAGGAGGAGAAGAGAGCCGCGTCCGGACGGGACCTGGACGACGTCAAGTCCAGTCTGGTCAACGAGTCGGAGGGCACCAGCGGCTCGGACTCGGAGGTGAGTTGACGCGGCTGCGGCCAGAAGTTTGTCCGCCGGCGGCAGCGCGCTGCTCGGCTTTGTTCACCCGCTCTGTGTGCTTCCACCGCAGGCTGACCGACGGACGCAGCCCGGACCGGGCGCCGAGCTCCGGGCCAGACACGGCCAGCTGCCCGACGAAGGTACGGACACTGTACGGGGTTCTGGAGGGAGTCAGAACCGTCCAGAACCGGAACATTACTGGGACCAGAACTTCTAGATTAAACTTAAACCGCATTAAAAAGATAAAACAGAGAAAGTTCTAAAAGATCAGAATTAGTGCTTAATTATAAAATAGTTTAAAAGTTTCCAGAAACACAATAAATGACAGGAAACGATGTGATGGAACCATAAACTGATTATTATTATTATTAGATTATTTATTATTATATTAACAACAGATTATTTATTGTTTATTCACAAGAATCAACAACAAACAGCCTCATTGAGTTTATTGTGTTTAAATCACTGACAGCAAAGTTTATTTCTGGTTTAATGACCATCAGCAGATAAAGATCCTGATGTTATTTATGATCATAATAATAATTTCTGATAATTAACTGCTGCTGTTCAGAAGCCTGTAAACGTGATTTCCTGATAATTGATTGATTGTTGAACTTAAACTTGGTTGTTTTTGTGACTCACTAAAAGACAAATGGGTTTGATGCTCAGACTTTCTCCATTAAATGTTTGTTCAGACTAAACCTGAGCGTAGTTTTGGTTATTTTCAGGATTAAATCCTGGTTTTATTCATGTCCACTAGTTCCAGACCTCCTCCAGCTCCTCATGAGTCAGTTCCTTCATATAAACACATATTTAGAGTTTTTCATCGTTGAACCAAACAGACGACTGACGGTGTTTCTGTCGTGTTCAAGTGTTTTTGGGCGTTTTATAGATGAAATTGTTGAATTTAAGAGAAATGTGCAGATAATAAAACAACTTCACTGACTAGTTAAACATCTGAGTTATTCTTCTAAGTGTTAGATCTGGAGACTGATCTCAGCTCCAGACGGATCCAACATGAAGCCCTGTGTGGCCCAGCCCGGCGGGTCCCAGAACCTCGGCTGGAGTTACGACCGTCCTGTTCTGAGTTCCCTGCAGAGCGTCGAGCTGCGAGACTTTAACGAGCTGCTCAACAACTCGCCTTAACGAAGCTCCTCTAACGACGCTTTTATTCACACGAGCTGCTCTCACAGCAGAACCAGAGTCGGGTTAGAACGTGTTCTCACTGGTTCTCCAAAAGAATCCAACACGGTTCCTCTCTGCTGACAGGAAGGAGACGGAACAGGAGGCTGGTTCTGGTATGAATCTACATGATCAGCACCTTCAGTCAGGTTCTACTGGACGTTCTAGCAGAGAACACACACAGAGTTGCTTCAGGTTCAGTCTGTGTGTTCTACAGCTGGAGTC